TCTAATGGAACAACCACACTTTTCTTGTAATCTCGCTCAAGTGCATCTTAATCCTGCTCCTTAAGGAGGATCCCTGCAATCCTTTTTGTTGTCATTCTTATTGGGTGAGCAGAGATGAAAATAGTCCAGTGCCTGGAGACATCACCTTGGCTTTCTGTGCCCACACACCTTCATGCACCCAGGAGATTGTGATTACCTGGTGAGCAGAAAAGTTTGACTGAAGAGCTGTGTAACACATTCTATAATAGGATTTTAAGTCCTGGAGAAAAGGAGGCTCAGAGGGGACCTTCTTTCTCCTGACAGGAGGGGTGTCGGTCTCTGCTCCCAGGGAAAAAGGGACAGGAGGAGGGTAAATGGCCCCAGGGCGTGCCAGGGGAGGCTCAGGTTGGACACCAGCAGGAATTTCCCCATGGAAAGGGTGCTCAGGCCTTGGCAGGGGCTGCCCAGGGAGGTTTGGAGTCCCCATCCCTGGAGGTGTCCAAGGAAGGGCTGGATGTGGCACTCAGTGCCTAGGCTGATGACAATGTGGGGCTCAAGCACAGGATGGGCTCTGATCCTGGAGATCTTTTCCAACCTCAATGATTCTGTGGTAGAAACCACTCTTAAAAGACTGAAAACATCCTGAAAATGAATGTTTCCCACCAGACTGCATTAGGAAGCAGATCTGTCACTGACAACCCTTAGAGGTCTCCACTGGAACTCTGCTCGGATGCAAAGGAACAGCAGCAGCTGTGGGGACATGGGGACAAGGTGCCAGGGCTGCAAATTCCCTCCACAGGAGCAGGAGATCCTGCCTCAGGCTGACAACAGATCTCCCAGCAGCCCAGCTCTCCCAACAGACTGAGGATGTGGAACTAAAGATGCCTCAGGATGAAATTTCATCCTGTGGCTTCAGACACCAGGAGAGCTCCTCTGGCTTCGGTGGGGAGGGCACCCAGCCTGGATCATTTAGGACAAGCATCTTCATTCCCCAGCCTGAATGTTCACACCAGCTTAAAGAGAGCAGAATCTGGCATTGTTCACACCAGCCTGAAGAGAGCAGAATTTGGCATTGTTTACACCAGCCTGAAGAGAGCAGAATCTGGCATTGTTCACACCAGCCTGAAGAGAGCAGAATTTGGTGTCTGCTCTCCAGCTCAGAGTGAAAAACAGTCATCAAATAAGTCAAAGATTTTTTTTTTAATATTATTAATACTCCACTCTGTTATGCTCCTTTCTGTCAAAGGAAGGCCATCCTTCTTTTAAGCCAATTTTTCAACCCCAAAATGCTGGTTTCTCAGCCTCAGCCATACCTACAAGTGGCATTTAACAGCTATAAGAGAAGGGACTTGTTACACTGCAGGAACTGAGAGCATTTAAAAGAAAGAAGTGCAAGATTTCTCAGCCCTGACTCTGAGAAACGCTGTTGCACATGTGTTTGTGCACCTCCTGCTCTGCAAAGCAGGAAAAATAAAGTTTGCAAACTTATTCTGTATTTACTCCCTCCCCCACCCACCTCCCTTTAAAAATTCATCAGTAATCAGAGACATCCCAAGGAGCTCTTGTAGTAGAGTTACTATTTAATGAATGTGTACCAGACTTAATATTTAATGTTTAGATAGACATCTCCACAATTTATCCCTCCTCCCCTGTGTTTTTATGACCCTTTTAGGACAGGAGCTGGTCTTGTCTACCCCACAGAACACACAGCAAATTATCTGGGGGCTTGAGAAGAACCTGTAAGTCTTTAAGAGGCATTGCTGGTTCCACCTCTTAGAGCAACAGATTTAAACACTCACAGTCTCAGGGATCACACCAGGGCACAGAGAAATATTCTCTTTTTGCACTGAGCTCCTTAGATGTTGCTCCTCTTATTCCTTCAAGCTTCAAAGTTAAGAACCTAAACTGATTTAAGCTTGATACACAATGTAAAATTGGTTGTGTTTTCCTCACCTAAAGTCAACAAAACAACATTTCATGAGGCTGCTGCCTTTTTGGCCAAGCACAGCATCCCCTAAACCACCCATGTACATCAGGGAGCACACGGATCCTTACCCAAACCAGCCTTTTCCGGCTGGAAATGATGGATGGAGGACAATGCCATCCTCACATTCTCTGTATCTACAGGGCAAAACGTGGCTGGGAGCAACTTCCAGCCCACTCAGTCATGCAGCAAAGTCAGATGATGGGTAATGATTTTTGCAGCCTGGACCAGGCTCTGTTGGAGGCTCCAGTCCCAATTTTATTCCCAGAAGCTCTGCCTGAGCCTCCGAGGAGGGGCAGAGGCATTTGATCAAGCCAGCTCCCCTTAATGTGATTTCTATTTCAGAACTGCTTCTGTAGTGCCCTTGAGTCTTTTCCTGGCAATATCACCTGTGGCCCAATGTGACAGCAATGCTAAATTATATCTTGATGGCTAATTAGGGTAATTAAAGTGAAAGTAATCAAATCAACGTAATGGGCAAACTCTTAATAAAATGTCAAAAAATCTCTATTCATCATAGAGAGATTTTTTTACTCTTTTGAATGTCAAAGAATGTGGAGAGAGAGAAAGAAAGAAAGAGCTGGACTTCAGAGTGGCCCTGGCTTAAAGGGACATCATCAGGCTAAACACTCCTAAAAACAGACTTGATCTATTACTAAAAACGCTCTAATTGTTAAAAAATAAGAGCTATTATTTAAAAATGAGGGTTATTATTTAAAAGATAAGTGTTATTTTTAAAAGTAAGAGTAGTTCTTTAAAATTGGGATTACTATTAAAAGTAACGTTTATAATTAAAATACAAGGCTTATTAATTAAAAATAAGGTTAAAAGTTTAGGCTGCATCACAGAGTTTGCTGGTTTGTGTAAGTAAATCCTTGTATCTTGTCCTGCTGAAGGTCATGACCTGGGTTAGTTTCCTGAAGGTGATAGGAAACATTTCTCCAAAGTGAGGAGGATCCTTTCCCCAAGGTGATGGGAATCCTTTCCCAAAGGTGAGGGGGATCCTATCCCCAAAGTGATGGGGATTCCTTCCCCAAGGTGATGGGGATCCTTTCCCCAGGGTGAGGAGGATCCTATCCCGAAGGTGATGAGGATCCTTTCCCCAAAGTGAGTGGAATCCTTCCCCTGAGGTGAGGAGGATCCTTTTCCCAGAGTGGAATCCTTCCCCTGAGGTGAGGAGGATCCTATCCCGAAGGTGATGAGGATTCTTTCCCCAAAATGATGAGGATCCTTTCCCCAAAGTGAATGGAATCCTTCCCCTGAGGCGAGTGGGATCCTTTCCCCAAGCTGATGGGGATTCTTTCCCTGAGGAGAGAAGGATCCTATCCCTGAGGTGAGGAGGATTCTTTCCCCAAAATGATAAGGATCCTTTCCTCAAAATGATGGAGGATCCTTTCCCCAAAGTGAGTGGAATCCTTCCCCTGAGGTGAGTAGGATTCGTTCCCCGAGGCGAACCATCATTTCTGCCAGATGAGGGGGATCATGCCCTGGCCGTGCCCTGAGCATCCCTCCCCGTCCCTCGGGATAAGGAGGGAGAAGGGCAGGCACGGTTCCCGTGCCCGTCCCCGCCCCGCAGCACACCCGGGCAGTGTTTGCGGTCTCCAGGCAACACTCCTGCCCTATTCTCCCTCCCTCCTTTTCTCCTTCCTTTCCTCCATCCCTCCCGTCCCGTCCGCCCCAGCCCTGGGCTCGTCCCCTCTCAGGTATCGGCAGGGCCGGGCTCAGGTGTGCGGGATGAGGGGCAGCAGCCTCCGCTGGGTGGAAAAAAGCCGATTTTATCCTCCTTCCTCCAGGCCAATGGAAAAGGTAAGGGGTGGGGGAAGCATCAAGGTGTGGCCCTGTCTCCTCCGTGTCCCCCGCCAGAGGTGACATTGATGATTAAAGATTTAAATTATGATTAAAGATTTATCAAATTGGTTGTCCCGGCCTCATTCCATGGGCAGGGAATGCTGACCAAGGGGGGTGGGTGCTTCCCAACCTCTGTGATGTTTCTCCTCGTGGCTTTACTCCCCCAGAAACCTGGCAGTGACCAGACCTTGGCTTTTCCCAGCACCTGGGCTTGCTGGCGTCTGGCATGTGAAAAGCTGCTCCCTCCAAACAGAAAAACTTGTGTTCCGAGCCCCTTGTGGCTAAAATTCTGTTCCACAGCCCCTCACTGCTGATTTTCTGCTAAAATTCTGCTCCATGGTCCCCTGTGGCTGATTTTCTCTCAAACCTGTGCTCCACAGCCCCTCATTTTTGATTTTCTGCTCAAACCCTGCTCCACAGCCCTTCACTGCTGATTTTCAGCTCAAACCCTGCTCCACAGTCCCTCATTGCTGATTTTTTTATGCTCAAACCCTGCTCCACAGCCCTTCATAGCTGATTTTATGATAAAATTCTGCTCCACAGCCCTTCGCTGCTGATTTTCTGTCAAAACCCTGCTCCACAGCCTCTTATGGCTGATTTTCTGCTCAAATTCTGCTCCACAGCACCTCATGGCTGATTTTTCACTAAAATTCTGTTCCACAGTCCCTCACTGCTGATTTTCTGCTCAAACCCTGCTCCACAGCCCCTCATTTCTGATTTTCTGCTCAAACCCTGCTCCACAGCCCCTCATTTATTATTTTCTGCTCAAACCCTTCTCCACAGCCCCTCACTGATGATTTTCAGCTCAAACCCTGCTCCACAGCCCCTCACTGATGATTTTCTGCTGATTTTCAGCTCAAACCCTGTTCCACAGCCCCTCACTGCTAATTCTCTAATAAAACTCAGCTCCACAGCCTCTCATTGCTGATTTTCTGCTCAAACTCTGTTCCACAGCCCCTCACTGCTAATTCTCTAATAAAACTCAGCTCCACAGCCCCTCATTGATTATTTTCTGCTCAAACCCTGCTCCACAGCCCCTCATTTCTGATTTTCTGCTCAAACCCTGCTCTATAGCCCCTCATTGGTTATTTTCTGCTCAATCCCTGCTCCACAGCTCCTCATTTCTGTTTTACAGGCCCCAGCCATGTCCTGCCCGTGATGCCGCTCGGTGAAGGCCCAAGCACAGGAAATGTCCCCCGAGGATCTTGCTGCCCTGCTCTGTGGGGAAGGGGACGAGCGCCTCTCCCAGCAGGAATTTCCAGCAGCCACGGCTTTTTACCTGGCCGCCTTCAGCTGCTGTGCCCCCACAGCAGTGCAGAGAGTGAACTCCATGGCCCACGGGCTCTGGGAGCATGTGGTGGCCACCTTGGAGGCCTGGTGCCGAGGCAAGGCTCAGATCCCCAAAATCCAGAGCAGGAACCTGGCCGTGGTGTCCCTCAGCGTGGGAATAGCTGCGATTTTCCTCTCCACCCTGATCCCCAACAACGTGGTGGCCTCCGTGTACGAGCTGGAGGCCCTGCTGCGGCGAGGGTGCTCGGAGGAGGTGGTGAGCAAATGCAATCTCCTGCTGGAGGATAACCCGAGGGGTTCCATGGAGCTGCTGCTGCTGAGGGCGCTGGCACGGGTGCTCTCAGGGACACAGGTTGGGAAGGGAATCGTGGATTACATCCAAGCCTTTTTGCTGCACCAGACTGAGGCAGTGGCCTACGTGTGCAGCAGGCAAAGGGAGCACCTGCCCCAGGTCGTCCAGGCTTTCTCTGATCATCTCTCCACGTGCCAGGAGGGAAGCCCAAGCTGCAGGTCCTCGGAGCAGTGGCTGGGTGACTGTTACAGCTTCCTGGCTGCGGTGGCACCGGGGCACACCTGGGTGTGCAGGGCACGGGCAGCCCACCTCCGAAAAACAGGAGAGTTTCAGGAGAGTGTGGCTGTCTGCAGCAAGGCCCTTGAGGGATTCTCAGCTGAGAATCTCAGAGGTGAGGACGTTGTGGCTCTGCTCCTGGAACGTGCTGCTGGGTATTTCTTCCTTGGAGGATGCACGCAGGAAATGATGCAGGATTTAGCAGCGGCCTTTGCAGCAGACCCTGCCCAGGCAATGAAATGCTTTGAAGAGCTTTTCTCACCCTGTGATGCTGAGAAGGTCGAGGAGCAGGCCAGAGCTGCCCTGGAGGGGAGGTTTGCAGCATACAGGGAGGCTGTGCGTGCTCGGGCTGAGCTCAGGGGCACCTGTGGCACTGAGCTGCTCCCTCCTGTCATCCAGACAATCCAGCTGCTCCTGCACATCTGCCCAGGGTCCAGCCGGGAGCTCAGTGTCAGGCTGGCAGACTGTCACCTCCTGCAGGGACACTCCGGGGCCGCCCTGGACATGTGTGAGCAGCTGCTGGCAGCAGAGCAGAGCACTTACCACAACACCCTGCTGGCACTGCGAGGCTTCTGCTCCCTCCATGCCCAGGACCAGCAAGGAGCCCTGCAGGATTTCCAGAGGGTCATCGAGCACGAGTCCCCACATCCCAACAGCTGCATCAAAGCCCTGTGTGGGCGTGGGCTGATCCGAATTTCTGGTGGCAGCAATTACTTGACAGCCCTGGATTATATCACAGCTTGCCAGTTAAAGCTGGATGAAACCATCTTCACCATCAAGTCCTATGTGCCATGGAACCAGAGGGGATTGCTGCTGAAGGTCCTCCAGGAGGAAGGACAGATGATGCTCCAGAAAAAGAGGTACCCAGGAGGCAGCTCAGTTTCCTTTCAGAAAAAGCAAACAGGGCTGTGCACATTCCTAACCTTGGAGGTGTTTTGTTTTTTTTTTTTTAATTGGCTTTTGTTTTTCCTCTCCAGAGATGCCCCTGGGGTTTTCCAGCTGGCTTCTCTCTTGGTGGAGCTGGACAGCTCTGATGAGGCATCCCAGCTCAAGGTGTTTTGTTTTTTTTTAAATTGGCTTTTCTTTTTCCTCTCCAGAGATGCCCCTGGGGTTTTCCAGCTGGCTTCTCTCTTGGTGGAGCTGGACAGCTCTGATGAGGCATCCCAGCTCCTGTGTGCTGATGCCCTGTACCAGATGGGCCGTGGGGAAGAAGCCCACAAGATGCTGTCACTGGCCCTCTCCAGAAACCCCCAGAGGGCTCCTGTGCTGGCCAGGCTGGCCCTGCTGCAGCTCAAGAGAGGCTTTTTGTATGATGGCAACCAGGTAAGGAGCACCTGGAAAGCCTCATCCTCTGGGTCATTCCCTCCTCAACAGCTTTGCCAGATTTTTTTCCCAGACCACAGTGAAATTACAGATTAATCCCTGTGTTCAGTGATTTGGGTGCATTTCCCCTTTATAACTAAACTTTGCTGTTAGGAACTCCCTGAATAGCAGCAGGGAGAGCTGTGACACGGTGAAACTTGGAGCCCATGTGCAGAACCTCTAGCAGAATTTAAAGGTGTAAATACAGGGCTGATATTGCCATAAAATCATGGAATCACAGGAATTTGTGTCAAAAAGGACTCATAAGGACTCCCAGTTAAATCCAGCTCATTCCTCACATGCTTTTTAATGGCATTTCTCAGCACTTTAACCAGGCAGAGCATCCTGTCCCTGGGGACAACGTTATGGGATTGGAATGTTCCCTTAAAGAAAAGAAGGAACAAGTGCCACCTCCCCAATTATCCTAATGAAGCATTGGAGAAGAAAACCCCAAGTGCAGAAACTCCAATATCAATATTCAGTTTTCTTTCTCCAATGCTGATAAGTTGTGCTGGAAACCCTGAAAGCCATTCCAGCAAGTTGGTTCTCCAGGATTACAAAGCTGAATTCCCAGGCTCTGCCATCAGAGGGAACTCTTGTATTCTTTTTAAAACACCATATAAACTCTGCTAACTCATAAGGAGAAGGGTTTTATTGTCAGCATTTCACTACTGCCTATGAAAACGTTTGCTGTAATTTGCTGCCTTTGGGAAGGCTGTTAATGAAGGGTGTGGCTTTATTAGAATGCTCTCCTTGGAGGTTGGATTTCCATCTGCAGCCTCTGCTGAAATTTCTTCATGGAACATCTGAAAATTTATCTCCAAAATATTTTTATCCCACCTGCCTGTCAGATGCCAATCACTTTTGTCTATCAATAAAATAAAGAAATTTATGAGTTCAAGGGACTCAAGGGATGTATCTGATAGGATAACTTTGTTCTTGCCCAGATTTCTCTGGCTCAGATTTGAATATTCAGTCCCTGATGAGCACTGTAAAAACCATCTTTTGATTAATTTTCATTGGAAACAAAGTAAAAAAAGTGTTTGTTGAGGCAAAGATACCAAAAGTCTGACAGGATTCTTTTCCAGAAGGACAGTACTTTGTGGGTTTGAATCCATGCTTTTCCCAGATTACCAATAACAATACTAAAAATAACTTACAGCAGTTCTCTAATTTTCCATTAATTCACTGGTTTTGATTCTGCAGTCAAAAGGGTCACTGGAATCCTTGTGTTCCACAGGAACTTTCTCTTTTTTGGGCAATCATCCTGCATTTATAAAAACACTCCACTGCCAATGTGGATGCTACCCAAAACAAAGCAGGCAGCACCAGGTGTTTGCCCAGAATTATTTCCCCAGCTGCAGTGGTGGTGAGGAAAGATAAGAATCCCTGTTTTCTCCAACCTGCATTCACAGCAGGGCCAGCTGAGGAGATAAATCAGGGAGATTTGTGCTCCTGGCCTGGCTGAACCCCCAGGGAGAGTTGGGGATGCTGGGGAAGGACACAAAGCTCTCACACACAACTTCACATCCCATCCAACTCTTTCTCTGCTGCCTTTTCCTCTCCCATCCTAAAGCTGCTGAGGAGATTGATCAGAATTGGAGACTCCTCCTGCCTCCTGCCAGTGCTGGACATTTTCCAGGACGAGGACCGAAAGCTGCTGCAGAGCCACTGCCGCTGGCGAGCCCTGGCCATCCTCAAGGGCAAACAGGAGGCTGCTGCCATCAAAGAGGCCATTGCCCACCTGTCCTTTGCCATCCTTGCTGCAGGTAGGACACCAGGATGCCCGTGGGGATTTGCTCCTAAGGGAAATGATGTGGGTGGGCAGGATGTCCAGGTCTCCTCTGTCACCTCCCCAGTGAGGGCTGACACAGCACGTTCACCTGGGCCTTGAAGTGGTGGAGTTCAACAATAAGGAATTTTAAATTCCTTGGAATGGGTTCAGCTCAGTTCTACAGGGACATCACCCCCTTTTCTTCAGCCAGTGCAAAGAAGTGAATGCAGCCCCTCACACATTTCACTATCCCAGCTTTCCCTCAGGGGAGAGACCAGGCTGACATGGAAATTCTTCTGGCGTGTTCCAAGAAAAACCATGTTTGTATGGAAATCTGCCTTTCACTCTGAGCAAATGTTATGACAGCAGCACTGAGAAGAAGAGAGACTGGCTCGTGGAAATGGAATAAAAACCCTGTTAATTGCTTGGAGATGGTTCCATTTCACAGCCCATGCATTCCAGCTTATCAGCTCCCCACCTGCTAGAACAGATGCTTGTTAAGGAATAGATATTGTCTTTAGAGGAGCCAACTGGTAGAGCTCCAGAGTGATAATAACCTTTGGTACAGAAGTTTTGGAGCAAATCAGGCGGGAGAAAAAGCCTCATTACTGCAGAGGAATGGCTTGGAGCCTGTCTGCTGGCTGATCCCTGCAGGCAGCTGCATTTGATGACCTCCCTATGAAAACATATTTCCAGTGGCACTGATGATTTATCATCCAATATTGGATGCCACAATTATTGATTGCAACCCTGGGCATGTTAAGATCCTTATCGAAATTGCCTTGGAAGGAAGGGATATGTGGATGGCAGGCAGAGAAATGCTCTGCAGGCAGGGAATGGAGGGACCAGGATTTTCTCTGACAACTCTATGTGTTTATTTGGGCAGCACTTGTGTGAAAGCAGAGGGAAAAAAAAAAAATATATAAAAAAAAGGCAGCTCAGTACCACAAATCCCAGTGCATATTAATTCTGGCAGGGAATTAGTCCCATCTGGATAACTCATTTATCCAAAACAATGTGTACCTTCCCTGCCCGTGGGAGAGGGCTGGGGACTCTTTAAGGTCCCTTCCAACCCAAACTATTCTGTGATTCTGACCCCACTTTATTAAAACAGCCAAATGGCTTTGTGCCTCCACTCTCACATAGCCACAGATCTCCCTCTTAGAGCTTTCTCCTCTCATTCCTGCTGCTTCCACTCCAACCTGACTCAGATTCTTCTTTCCTTTCAACTCATGGCTGATAACACGTGGCAGGAATTCCACTTGCAACAAAAATAAAGGAAACTTCCACTTAAGGAAACTCTCATCCTGAGGTATCCTCAGGCCAAGTGGAGCTTTTTTGGAGTTTCCTGTGGGTATCCTTGCAGTAACCATGGCTGCATCCCTGTCCTCCAGGTGGTTATGCTGAGGATTGCCTCCTCACCAGGGCCCGATGCTATGGGCGCCTTGGGCAGATGAAAACTGCAATTTTTGATTTTAATGCTGTCCTGAAGGAGGATCCCAGGAATGTGCAAGCTCTGAGCGGCCGAGGCTTTGTTCACCTCGCTCTGAGGCAGCAGAAGGTACTGTCCATGGGGGGGCTTTGCTGGTTTTTCTGAGTGTACTGAACAATATGAGTGTAAAGCATCACAGAATTTGTCGTGGAATCACTGGAATCAGAAGTTTCTCACAGAATTTGGATAGTGAAAGGCTCTGAGTTTGGCTGGATTTATGAACAGCCCATTTGGCTTTACTGATTTTCTTTCCCAAGCCTAGGGAGATGAGGGCTAAACCTTGCTCATGATTTTCTGTGATAACCCAAGGAGTTTAAAGCACTTTGCAAACACTCATCCAAACCTGCCTTTATGACCTCCTGTCAGCTTTGCAAATGGAAAAGTTGCAGCACAAGGACAAGGAAAAGCAAAGTTTTTCCATGGTTCAGCAGAGAACAGAAAGCAGCTGAAAGAACAAATGATCAATACTTAATTATTGCTTCCATTTCTTTCCTTGGTGTTGTTTTTCCACAGGAGGCAGTGCAAGATCTGATCTCAGCACTGAAGGTGGAGGCAGGAGCAGTGATCCCAGCAATCCTGTCCTTGAAGCCTGAAGCCCAAAGGTTGGTCACTGGGTGGCTCCTCCAGCATGGCAGGGCCACTCTCAGCGAGCTCGTGGCCACCAAAGATGTCCCAGGAGAAGAAACCCTTGGGGACCTTCTCACGATGGCAAAAGCACTGACCAAAATCTGCAGGGCTGCGCAACATCACATCTTCTACACTGATGTTTTGATGGCAAATGGTGAGTTCCAGTCCTTCAGCATGGCTGGTCAGGCCTGGTGAAGGAGCAGAAAATGGATAAAAGTGGATATGAAATGTCAGGGGTGTTGCTGGATGGTGCTGGATGGTTCTGGATGGTGCTGGGTAATGCTGGATGGTGCTGAATAATGGTGGATAATGTTGGACAATGCTGGATGCTGCTTCTCAAGAGAAGTTTGAAAACACTTTGGGACAGGTATGACATAATTAACACCTTTAAATGCAGACTGGCTGCCTGAACCCTGCCTCACTGTGGTTTCTCAGTACCTTTCTCCCCACGGGATGGGTTATGGAGTTTGTGCTGGTGTTCCCCAACAGGAAGGCACCAGGAGGCCCTCAAGCACCTGCAGGAAGCCTTTGGCCACTGTCCTGCTGAGGACTTTGCCAGGGCTCGCTTGGCTGTGCTGCAGCTGCAGAGCAGGAACGTGGCAGGGGCAGCTGCCCCACTCAGCGTCCTGGCCAGGAGAGATGAGAAGGACTTGGCCTTTCTCCTGAACTTTGTAGACATCAAGCAACAGCAACATCTTGCTCAGGTACAGCCCTTTTTTTTTTGTTTTGTTTTTTTTTTTTTTTTTTTTTTTTTTCCCCCTCATCTTGCTCAGGTGTATCCCTTTTTTTTTTTTTTTTTTTTTTTTTTTTTTTTTTTTTTGATCCCACGTCTGTGGATTCAGTGGGCAAAGAGTTGGGAAGCAAAACTGGGATTGCAGGGATTTCTCCCTGCCTTGAGAAGTGTGTGGGAAGAGTTTTAGCAGATGGACAGGGCACAAGATGACTTTTCCTCCAGCCAGGTCAGGGAGCTGGAGCCAAACTTCTTCCACTGCAGTGACCTTGATCAGTCTCTAATCATCCATCATTGCCACACCTGAGCATTTGGGATTCCTTTTTGGTCTCCCTGGCACAAGCTGAAATTCAGGGGGTGTGAGGGCAGCAGGTAGGGATTAAACAGATCATTGCTAATGGTACTCTGGGGGATACATGGGGCCCATGGATGGCTCCTGGTGAAGGGGGATTCATGTTTTGTTCATTTTCTTGATGAAAAGAAGCTGAATATTTCAATTCAGTGACATTAAATGCTTCCATCCTTCTTTTGTGCAACATTTAGGATTTCTAATATGTTCACATTTTTACAAAGTGTAAGGTTTTGAGGCTGGTTTTCTTAGCTAAAATTGACACAACAATGCCATAAAGCTCTGGTCCCCCCAGAGTATTTATTACTAAGCATTTTTTCATGTTTCTCCCCAAAAGTACACCCAGAAAGTATCTCCAATAACAAGACAAGAGAAGGTCAGATTGATGGCAAAGAGCTTTAACACTCAGCCAAGCATCTGCAATTCTGATTACCCAGAAGCTCTGTGTTCTGAGAATCAGTTTGCTTCCTTTTATTCAATTTGTTGCTGGTGTGCACCCTGGTGAGAAGCTATATTGTTATGCTCTCTCCCAGGTTATAAAACAAACAACATGCTGATATCCTTAATGCAGCAAGAGGAGCCCTTGGAATGTATTTGAACAGAACAGCAGGAGGATATAAGTAAACAAGTATTAATTTACCAGTCCCCAGACATGACCCATTACAGAGAAAAGAGCCCCTCTCTTCTAAATAATGTAAAAAGTTCAGTCTTAGGGGGAAGAGTTGGAAGATTTCAGAGGCAATTTGCAATCTTCCACTTTAGAAAGTTGATAAAGGAACAACTGAGACTGTGAGTAGGGAGGCTCTAAGGTGGTGTCTGTAAATGAAGACACATTTTACAGCTGAATTTCCCCTGCTGCCATATCACTCCTTCTGTGGGGGTCTCACAGCCCAGTCCATCCATGCTGCTTCCCTTCTGAGGCAGCACAGGAGTGATGTTCTTTGCTCTCAGTAAGAAAAGAAAAATGAAAATAAAAAATCAAACTAACATTTGTATCGCTTATACTGCACTGACAAGTGAGAACTTGTGCCACAGGTGAGTGAAGCCTTTAAAATGGGAGAGAAACTTATTTCTGCCTCTTTTTGGCAGCTGTGTCTGAAATAAAACCCCTCACTTATCATGAGAGATTGAGACAAGTGGTGTGACCAGGCTGATTTCAAAACTGGAGCCCAATACCAGGGTTGGAAGTTTAAAAAGAAAACATTGCTCTCTTTCATCCCATGCTTTTGTTCAACCAGTGAATGTTTGAACTCAAGCACCTGGGGGTTTTTGGATGTATTTTGTGACCAGGGGAGGAGTGTGTGCTCTCTGGGGTGTGGAAGGAATTGTTTCATCCACCTGCCCAGTGTCTGAAAGGATTTCCCAGCAGCACTTCCTTTTGCCTGTCAGGTTATTCTGGTTTATGAAAGGAAGACCTCAGTAAAAGCAAAGTTTTAAAAGCTTACAGACAGAATTAATGCTAAAATTCCCAATGATGGCCTGACTTTGCCAGGGTTCCCTGGGAGAGAGAGTTTGCTCTGTTCCTGAATTTCCCAGGTAGGAAAAGAAGAGTTCAGAGTTCACACCTAGGCTCAGCACTCCAGCACAAAAGCATTTCTGCCACGTTGTTTTTTTGAGAATTTGGAATTACAGGCATTTTAAAAACGTGTCATCATTATCCTGGAGCCAGGTCTGAAGAGCTAAAAATAGTTCTCCATAAGCTGAATAGGAAAGGGTGGAGGAAGGAGAAAGCTCCTTGATGTACTCTTTTTTTTTTCATGGAAAACAAAGTCACAAAATTCTTCCATTATTTATAGTGAAAGGGTCCCATGCTGAGAAATTTGTAAACAACTGGGAGAGCCCCATGGGAATAGGAATCTGAAAGATTTATTAAGCTGCAAAAGGTCAGAGGAAGGGAGTTTGCTTGCTGCTTGTGCAGCTTCAACCCTTGGCTTTCCTAAGTCAGGGGTAAATGCACGACTGATTCCCAACCCCTCACACAGATCCTCGGGGCTGCAGCTGCTGTGGAGATCCAAATTCCTACAAAAAAGGTCTCCAAAACTACATGGACTGTGCCAGAGTTAGGTGAAGTTGCCATTCCAAATGGCCTTCATGGCATGTGCAGGTGGGGAAGGAAAGACTTGCTCCAAACTCTCCTGGAAATACCCAACCCTCTCCCAAAGATCAGAGTTTACCATTCCATCTGCTGGGATTTACTGCTCAGGGACTGACCCTTGGCCATAATTCCATGCCCAGTAAACTCCTCACTCTTTTTTCTTTCTAAGGAATTAAGCCTTGGTCATGTCATAAGGTTGGTCCCTAGGGACTGGAACTAAAAAACGTCACAAAAATATGTGTATGTTCAGTCCTTTACACCCAGTGAGGTGAATAGATGGAAAAAAGAGACACAGAGACCTAATCCAGGAATCCAGGGATCCACTCATGGCCCTTTCTAGGTGGCACCTGAATTATTTCAGTCTGGAAGCCAAAATCAAACTTTTAGTGACAAGCTGCACTCCAGTTCCCCTGGAATGCACTCCAAGGTTTTTCCTGCCCTTCCAGGTCACCTGCATTGAGGCTGATGACAAAAATGCTTCTCCAAGGCCACGTGCAGGGAGCAGCTGAACCCAGCTGTGCCATGTCCCTCTGGCTTCCTTTGCCTTCTCTCCCTGAGCCTGGCTTTCATCTTTATCTCTGTTAGGAGATAATGTGCAAGCTGCTGGTTAATCCTTCCCTGTTACACACCAAAAATGTCCCAGCTCAGGTCCCTTAAGTCAGGCAGAGCCAAAAGAGAATCCAGAATCCAGCTGCCCAACCTTGCTCCATCTGCAAGGGTGAAAGGGAATCCTTTCTTTTCAGATGGGATTTTTCCTCCAAGTGTGGCAGGAAAGGCAGAGTCTCGTGGCTTGTTTTGGGGACTCTCAGGGAAATGTGAAGGAATCAAAGCAGTGGCTCAGTGAAGAAATGCAATATTGCAATATTGCTCAGTGAATAAATGCAATATTGTGGTGCAATAACCCCAAATGCCCCAGGTTAGAGCACTGAGACCTCCAGCACCAGATTCAGCATTCAGCACAACAACAACCATTGTGTTTTCTTCTGCCTCTGAGAAAACAAACGCACCTTAGAGGCTGAAAATGACAATTTAACCACACAAACACAAGCTGTCTTGAGGAACTGCACTGCGTTCCTTGGAACAATGTGATCCAGAACTCTGGAATTTCTGGGGGGGGAAAAAAAAACACCTTCTCCTGCCAAGATGCTCTTCAGGCAGCTGCAATTCCACCTTGATCCCTTGTCAAATTCCTGCCACTGAGGGGACACTGAGGAGTTGTCTTAAAAACATTTCAAAGGACAAAGCAAATGTGCTGCTCTTTAAATGTACACAGGACATCTGAGATGGGTTTGGACAGGCTGCCTGAAAATTTATGGCCAGAATTGTTAAAGCCAGGGGTTGACACTACTGGGGGAGAAGTCCTATTGCTATTGCTCTGTGTGGAAGCTGAGAGACTCCTTAACAAATATGTCAAGAAAAATAGGAATAGACATATATTTTCTTTTATTTATATATATATATATTTCTATATAATTATTTTTATATGTTATATATATATATAATCCTTATTTAGCAATATATACTATATATAAATATACATTTCTATATATAAAAATGGTAAAAGATATATATTATGTGCAATATAATGAAATAGCTGGGGTAGAATTCCTCCTAAACCATGAGGACAGGCTAAATTATTTCATGCCACTGCTCTCAGATGAGGTGCTGGGACTTGCCCTGCAGTTATTGATCCCTTCCCTGCAGAACCTGTTCTCAGTCCTGGCAGACAGCAATCCATCCTAACCTCAGTCAGCCAAAATAAAAGGGGCACACAAACAAACTGGAGGACCTGACCTGGCTCTCAAGTGTGGCTACTAAAACAGTGGTTGGGCTAGCTGGATTTCTGCATCCAAAAGCAGGAGTTACCCCCTGAAATGAGGAGGATGGAAATATTTATCCTTTGCTTGAGCCTCAGCTTGTTTGGCCCAGCCTTTTGTAAAGCCCTCAGCTGCTGATGGCAGCTTGTTTATAACCTGAATATTCACTCTGCTGCAGCACGTTAAAAGCTTTATTTATTACCAATAAAGGGGAATAATGAGAAATCCATTTGAGGCAAATACTTCTAATGGAGTTTTCTTCATTGACCTCCATGAACCTAAAAATGATGTGGCTCTTTCAGCCTTCTCTATTTTCTTGTTGTTGTTTTTCCCTTCAGATGAGGGCAGAGAGTTCAAATTGCACTCAAGATTAACAATTAGCAAAGCCACCAGTTGGCCTTTTTTTTTTTCTTTTTTTTTCCTACAGCTTAGGTAAGCTCCAGTAGAGACAAAAAATTCATTTTTAGCACTTGCATTTGTGGGGCAGCACCTGGGGGTGTTGGTCCAGGCAGCTTTTTGTCCACCATTTCTAAGGAATTTAAACAAATTCAGAAGAAATTCTGCGCAGAAACAAAGTACTTCTGGAGCTCCTGAGATAACAGCAAGTGAGCAGTGAGCCAAGAGTTTTATGTCTTGGTAATATCATAAGATTGAATAGATGGAAAAAAAAGGACAAATAGACCTAATCCAGGAATCCAGGGATCCACTCATGGCCCTTTCTAGGTGGCACCTGAATTATTTCAGTCTGGAAGACAAAATCAAACTTTTAGTGACAAGCTGGACTCCAGTTCCCCTGGAATGCACTCTGAGGATTTTCCTGCCCTTCCAGGTCACCTGCAATGAGGCTGATGACAAAAATGCTTCTCCAAGGCCACGTGCAGGGAGCAGCTGAACTCTTATCTGTATGCAAAAACACACCAATTATTGTTTCTCCAGCTAGATACAATTCCAGCATTTGATAAAACAACTAACATTTCTTAGTGTCTGTGTGTATGACCAATCCAGACTAGATATTCCCCTATTTTTTCCCCTTCCTGACATGCATTTTCCCCTTTATAACATGGATTACTCTGTCCCCACAGGCAGCAGCCCAGGAAGGGAAGGTGCTGATGAAAAGCCATGACCACCAGCAGGCTCTGGGCTACCACAGCCTGGCTGTGCTGGCCAGCAGGGCCAGCCCCAGGTACCTGAGGCGCAGAGCTGCCTGCCTGATGCACCTGAAAAAATACGAAAAAGCTCTGAAAGACATGGAAAAAGTGATCCAGGGGCATGGGTGTAACAGCCCAAAAACACAGGCTGGGGACCACTGCTGCCAGGGCTTCCTGCTGCTGGCCCTGGCTCGGGAGGAGGCAGCAGTGCAGCACTACATGCAAGCCCTGCAGCTGGATGAGCCCCTGGCCCTGGGCACCATCACTGAGTGCCCCGGCAGGGAATGTTTAACCAAAATATTTCACAAAGTTGCGCAATATAACTTTGAAAAGCAGCGTTATGAAGAGGCCTGGAAAATCACAGACTATGGGCTTAAAATTGATAAAAGTTCTGAGCTCCAGAAGCTGAAAGCAAGACTCAAAAGAGAGGCATCGAGCTGTAGCATACATTGATTTCTCTGTTTGGGGGTTTTCCAGTATGATTGCTTTCTGGGAGGCTGCAAGAATGAAGGAAAGATGAAAAAGATAAGAAAGATGAGAAGCTGATGATAAATATGCAGCAGACATGACACTGAACATGGAGTAGAAAGTTTAAGGCAGCAAAACAAAACTGACCAAGAGAGCAATGAAGAAAAAAAGCAAATTGCAACATTCAGGATTCCTTAAAATTATTGTGGACTATGTAAACTCCCCATTGTGAAAAAAAGCCCTTTTTTCTGGCTAAACAACAAATTCTAACACAGGGGTTCCAGTCCTACTGAAGAAAAACATTCAAAACACTTGCAGCTCATGAATAATAATCATGTATTTCCTAGCTAGCATTTGATGAGCTTTAACACATACTGTTCAATCAATTCACCTTATTTTTAAGGGCCAGTTAAAAGGATCAGTCAAAAGCAACTCCTGTAAGGTGTTTGTGAAGGCTCTGTCTGTTGGTTACTACTGGAAGGAAAACATGATCCAATTTTTTTTTTCCAGCTTGCAAATGGAGCCAACAGTTGTTTAAGGATATAATTTCATGCTTGGAAAGAAGCTCTCCCACAGCATCTTGATGCCCATTATGGGGAAAAACCTCATCAGTGTCACTAGGATTAAAATTTAATTTGAAGGGGTGTGTTACACCCCTCTCCTGCCCCACTCCTGGATGAAGGATCTGCCCTGGTGGGAATGCAGTGGATTTGCCAGGATCAGCACCAATATCAGGGATGGGGCAGCACAAACCCCAGATAAACTGTTCTACTGCCCCAAGGAATAGTGAAATAACAGATAAAACTGTTCTACTGCCCCAAGGGAGCAGTGAAATAACAGATAAAACTGCTCTACTGCCCCAAGGAATAGTGAAATAACAGATAAAACTGTTCTACTGCCCCAAGGAATAGTGAAATAACAGATAAAACTGTTCTACTGTCCCAGGGGACAGTGAAATAACAGATAAAACTGCTCTACTGCCCCAAGGAATAGTGAAATAACAGATAAAACTGTTCTACTGCCCCAGGGGGCAGTGAAATAACAGATAAAACTGTTCTACTGCCCCAGGGGACAGTGAAATAACAGATAAGGAGAAAGGTGAGACTCAACAGAGATCAAACATCCACTCAGGAACTCCTGCCCTGATATCCACTCCAGGCTTCACCTCGGTGTCTCCCTTGGCCAGCAGATAACAGGGATCATCTCTCCACGGACTGATCATCTCTGGTGTCTGCCAGAGCTGCTGAATCCCATCCCTCACACTCCTGGGTGTTCAAACCCCAGAGGCAGCCCTGCAGCTCATCCTTGCACAAGAGGAGGCAGCATCCAGAGTGGGATTACTCCCAGAGCTGCAGCATTCCTTCCTTCCTCCTCCTCCCTGCTGAAAAAGGTGGAATCAGCCCCTGGCAGGCCCAGGAGGGCTTGTCCTGCTGTTCTTTTCCTTTTTCCAGCTTTCAGGTGGACTTGGGGCAGTGCTGGGACATCCCTGGGTGTTCACCTGTGTGATGGGAGCCCTCAGCTCAGCCCAGAAGCAGAAAGGACCTGAGGTGGGGCCCAGAGCAGCAGCTCCTTCCTTTGTTTTGGCTGCTCCAAAAGAGTTGTCCCAGTGTTTTTGGAGTGTGGTAATAGAACCATGGAGAAAAACAGAAGCTACTGCTGAAAACAAAGATTAAAGCAATGCTGAGGAGTGCTCTGCTGCTTTGATTAGGATGAAAGAGAAGAGGGAGCATTCTCTTTTTTTGTTGAGCTGTTATCTCAAAGGCAACATTCCAGGGTGGGACTTCATTCAGCAGCCATGGGATCAGCCCACAGCAATGACACCACCTTGAACCTTCCACCTTCTCCTCTTCCCTGCATGCTCCTTTTTTCTGCCCTAAGAGCACAGGTAAGACTGGGCTTCTTGCCCTTCAAACTCCATTTTAATCCTAGTGACACTGATGAGGCTTTTTCCCCATAATTGGCATCAAGATGCTGTGGGTGAGCTTCTTTCCAAGCATGAAATTATATCCTTAAACAACTGTTGGCTCCATTTGCAAGCTGGAAAAAAAAAATTGATCGTGTTTTCCTTCAAGTAGTAACCAACAGACAGGAAATTCTGTCTCAAGAAAATTTTTGAGAAGTGGTTGTTTAAGGCTTTGTAATTTTTTCTGGAAGTCTTTCCATTATGTAAAAACAAGATATCCCACTTTTTTCACACCATGGAAAGCACTGGGAAGACAACCCATTTGTTCTGTCCCCCAGAGTAATATTCCCTCCTGTAGTCTGTAAGATTGGGGCATTTTGGCCTTGGTTTTTTTGTCAAGCAATGTATTCTCCTGGACAGAATGCATTTATTGCCCCAAAAGAATTTTTTTTTCTTTAAAAATAAGGACCACAGGCATTCCTGCAAGACTGCTAGAGAGTTGTCCTGAGGAAAAATTCCTTTTCGGGTGACTGCCTATTCCTCATGGCCTTGAGGAATGGCTGCTTCTCCCAGCACCTTCTGACTCTTCTCATCAGCATTTTCATTGGTTTCTTTTATTTTCCTAGTCCTCTGTCTGTGCCCACTAAAGTCCTTTGCCTGTACCCAAGCTGCTGATTTATTCTTTAATTCTCTGCTGTGTTCTTACTCTTCCAACCCATTTCTAGGAGAGGGCTTGGAGCAACCTGGACAGTGGGAGGAAAAAGCCATTTTCTAAACAAAAAAAAAAAAAAACACAAACAAACAAAACCACAAAAAAACCCTCAAAACCAAAACAAAACACCACAACAACAACAACAACTGGTTCTACTTCTTCCAGATCGAAGAATCTAGCAGAAAAACCTGCAATGATAATTTCTGTACCTTTTTTTTTAATGTTAAACTGCAATTCCTGGGGATTGAGGAGCTCTTTCACACTTCTTTGAAACCTGTCCCTCACCCTGTGCAAGCAGCCCAAGGCTGAATACTTAGAAAAGGAACTTTATTGCTGCTTGTACAATGTGCTGTAGGACATATCCTCAAGGAATTCTGCTGGAAATGTCACACAATTGTGAAGAATTCAAATATACTTATATTAATCAAGATTCATGTAATCAAGAAGAAAATACTGCCTAATAAAAGATGAAACCAGATATCTGTTTGTAATCCAGCTTGAAGCTGCAGTCATTAATTAATTACAGCTTAAATATCTGTAGTTTATTCAGCTCTGAGCTCTGTACAGACACTACCAACTATTTCTTTGCTCTCCATAAATTTTGTTCCTTTAAAATATTCTGCACCCTCAATAACTGTGTTGCACATCATCACCAGGTAATGAATGGTGAAAGAAAACTGTGAAATCATGGTTGAGAATGTTCCTGCACAAACAGCACCCTGCCAGGCTTGCCCCTCTGAAGTATTCAACATTCCTTCTGAGCATGTGAAAGGAAAATCAGATGTGAGAATATTTGCATCACAAATCGAGTTAGACAAGGGAAGTTTCCTGACCTCGTGCTCTGCAGTCCAGCAGGCAAAGAACAGCTTAGAAATGATGGCAAAGTGTTTGGAATTAAATATTCCACTGGAAGCTTTTCCTCAGAGTTCAGGCAGAGCTAAACTTCAAGCTTTTGTGATCTCAGAAGGTTTCATTTCCTTTTAAACCCCATCACTCCCATTAATTTTTCCTATTTCACTTCGCTGTGTGCTCCCAGGTACTGAGGGAACCCAAACACAGGAACCAACTTCTGCAGCTGCTTTGGAAGCTGACACATCTCCAGGGAATTCTTCTTCCTGCCTTTGAGCCCAAGTCATTGTGCTTCCCAGCTCCAGAGCGTGGTGGAAGTGTGCCTCTGGCCCAGAGCCATGCAAACCCAGGAATTTAATGAGCTTCCTTGTGCCCAAGTGAGGACAGTCCCCTTGGCTTGCAGGGGCAGATGTTTCACTCTAATGACAGCTAATCTAAAAGCTATTTCTTTCACCATCATGCCCCTGCAGAAGATTAACTGTTATCATTGTGCTGCTGCTGCATCCAGCAGTTTCCAATTTGCCAGGGCTCCGAGGAGTCGCTGTCACCAGAAATTGAATGTGGTGCATGAAATGATCACTGGCACCGGAGCCTGCCTTTGGAGCCTTGGCTGCTTCCCTTGGATTTCAGCCACTCTGCTCCGTGCTGGGATCTGCTGCTTCACTCAGCCATTACTCAGTGGCACCTTAAGAAAATTAGTTCATTATTTAGGAGGCACAGCATTCCAAAGCTGTGGGATTCAGGAGACTCTTCCCCCTCCTGCTCCTGCTGTGCATTTCAGGAATGACTTTTCCATATCCACTTGTCCTGTCAGTGCTGCAGAGGCTGCACCTGCCCACAGGTGTGTACAGACAACCCTGAGCACAGGAGCAGGGGTTTATTGGCTCCCAGAAGTATCTGGAGGGCAGAAAACAAACACAGCTGATAGTGCTGATATTGCTGATATTGCTGGTTGTAGCTCTCAGCAGCTGAGGATGTCTGAGAGCGGGTGGGGAGCAAATTTCCACCCCAAATGGGAGGCTGGAGAACATGAGCCAGTCCCAAAGATGTCAACAGAGAGTGGAAACCACTGGTGATCACAGTGATGCTGTTTTTAGTGCCTCACTAATGAACCAGCAATTGAGAAAAGTGAGAAAGTGAGAAAACAGCTCCTGTCCTGGCCCTCCCTGAAGTCACTGCCTGGTGCCACTGACCCTTGGATCCCACACCTCAACACAGCTGTGGAACCTTCACCTCTAAGGTGTGCAACCAGGTAATTTTCAATTAATTCACTTCCAAAGTCTACCTTGGGCATAACATGCATGGCCAAGACCTCCTGGAAACCTTGGCAAGCCTCCCTTGCGTCCCTGAGAGCCACTGGGGACTTGTTCTGTGCCAGAGCAGCTGTGGCTTTAGGTGTGTCACCAGCCAACCTGATCATTTTTGTGTTTCAGTGTTCCCTACACAACCCCAAAGAGTCAGGAGCTGCAGAGAATGAATGAGAATAAGAATTTCCCCCCTGGACTCTAAAGGAAATTAAGAGCAGTAGCTCATAATCAGTTTGCATGCCTCATTCCTGAACTGCATCAGTAAATGAGAAAATTTAGCTGTAAAGCCAGGGGAGGATTGTAGGAGGGAGCAGGAAGCACAGGAGGATGCTAATGATTCCATCCCACCCTGGTTTGCATTTTGTTATCCCCCTCATTTGTGCTTTCATCTCCAGGTGGGTGCTGCCACACCAAAACCTTCCTTGGGGTAACCCAGAGTGAGGGACCTGGAGTCCCCACGGAGCTCCAGCCTCAGATCCAGATCAGTAGTGGATGAAATGGAAAACTGACAGGAATTAACATTTCCCCACTTGAAATGGCCACCTCAGAGAGCTTCTTGATTGCTTAGAAAGCTCAGATGTGCTGTTAGAAGACATTCCAGCACTGGTAATGTGCTCCATCTGTTCTCTGGAAGTCACATTCAAATCTGAAATTATTGGGAACACCTCTGAGTGCCTGTCACGGTTCAGGGTTTGTTCTCTCACTGTAGACTTTAACAATGGGAACAATTATACCTTGCCATGTGCTAATTTTTGCAGCCTTGCCAAGAGGATTTTTGCAATGTTGTTTCTTTTCTTCTCGTGCATCATTTGGCCATTCTTGATCTGCCTCCTGAAGTAAATAGGTAATTAGCCATCTACAGAAATTGCCCTGTGTCCACACCATTAATGTGCCTGGATGTCTTAATTGATTGCATTCTCAAATGGCTTGGATGGCTTAAATGCCAGCTAATGCAATCCAATTAAGACTCCTAATAAACCTGCCTGATGAACTGCAGGATAATCACACGTCAAGCACAGATGTAGAGGAAAATGCCACGGAAGTGACAGTTCAGAAGAGACTGTGTCATTTGGAAAGATCCAAACCATTCTCAGCAGGGAAACTGGGAACATTCACTCTGACTGGTGCTGGATGTGGGCCCCAGGACCTGATCCAACACAACTTTTAAGCACACACATCAGTTCCTATGCACAAAACCTTTTACACAGAGTCATGGGACAGCCCAGGTTGGAAGGGACACCAAAAGGTCATGTGAGCCAAGTTCCAGTGGGAAAGGGGTCCTAGATAAGATTATCCAGCACCCTGCCCAGCCTGGGAAATCTTATAAACTTCCAGTGAGGGGGACCTTATCATGTCCCTGGAGAGGCTCTTCCAGTGATTGATTATTCTCACTGGAAAAAAAAAAAAGGATTCTTTTATCAAGATTGAATTTTTCCCACTCCAACATCCTTTTGGCCCTCGTCTCCCTCATGAAAAGAACAACTCAATAATCACCTCGAGGGAGCACAAATGCAAATGAGATTTCAGGTGATATGGAGGGGGGAGGCTCTTAAAAATATTATTCAAACAAAATTAGCTGAGGCAGCAGGAAGTTAAATAAACTCCTACTGGGATAGGATGTGAACTTCCAGTAGTGCCCCACAAGTAACTCATTTGAAGATGGTGCAGTGTCTTTGTGGCAGCTCTGGAGGTCTTTCCTCAGCCCAAACAGAGATTAGGGATTTAATGGAGCAATCTGTGTGAAATTCTCTGCTCTGTTCTGCCAGATGCCAGACAAGACATAATAGCTCCTCTGGCATCAATGTCTATTAATCTAATCTTGACTTTGATTCTCTGTGTGACTCCCTTTCATCTGTAAAATGGGGATAATTCTCTCTTTCAGATGCTTGTCAGTACCTCTTCGTTCCGAGTACACGGCGCTTTGAAGATGACATTATTTGTACATTTTCCATTATTGTCACAGAGCTGCACGTTGTCCCTGGCCCTGTCCCTGTCCCCTGTCCCTGTCCCCAGTCCTTGTCCCTAGCCCCTGGCCCTGTCCCCAGCCCCAGCCCCTCTCCCTGTCCCCAGCTGCTGTCCCCAGTCCCCGTTCCTTGTCCCTGTCCCTGTCCCCAGCCCCTGTCCCTCACCCCTGTCCCCACCCCTGTCCCCAGTCCCTGTCCCTGTCCCCTGTCCCTGTCCCCAGCCCATGTCCCTGTCCCCTGTCCCTTTCCCCAGCCTCTGTTCCTGTCCCTGTCCCCAGCCAGGGCTGCTGCCGGGGTCACCCCCTGCCCTGTGCCCCGCTGTTGGCACAGCTGCCCTGGCACAGACCCTCAGCAGGGACGAGGAGATCTCACCCAGCCCTGGGGCAGGCTCTGTGTTTGCCTTTGGCAATGGCAAAGCCTGGGAAATAATGAAGATATTCAGATCCCCAGTGCAGGTCTGACTGAGCCCCAGAGGCTTTGCTGCACAAGGAACCACCCAGAGCTGCCCATCCCAAAGAGAACCACTGTCCCTGATGGGAAATTCCAACCTGAGTGCACCTGGAACCCAACCCCTCCTCTGAGGGCACCCAGGCACCTCTCTGCACCCCCAGAGCCCATTCCTAATCCTAAATGCAAGGAGTGATGGCCACAAACTACAACACAGCAAGTTCCACCTCAGCCTGAGGAAGAATTTTTTCCCGAGGAGGTGGCAGAGCTCTGGAGCAGCTTCCAGAGGGTGTGGAGTCTCCCTCTCTGGAGAATTCCAAACCCACTGGATGCTCTCCTGTGCCAGCTGCTCCAGGTGACCCTGCCTTGGTGCTCTCCACAGGGCCCTTCCAACCCAAATCCCAATCCCATCCTGGCATTCTGGGATTTGAGGCACCTTCAGCAGCTGTTACAGGACAGAGCTGACCAGACTCTGCCTCCTCCTGTCCTGCAGCTCCTGCCTCAGCCACCCCTCACACTCACTGTCCATGCTGGGCTAAGTTCAGCCCTCATGCTGAAGGATACCAAGCCCCTGATTTCCCCCACAGCATCCTAACTGCCAGTGGGAACACA